ATAGCGCACCGTTAAATCTAGTTTTTCAAATTGTGGCCAAATTGTGTATATTTTTTATTCAAATTTTAGTATGATATGTATTTTATAAATATCTAAAATGTATATTAACGATTTTTTAATTTCTAATGTACTTTTCATTTTATTTAAAATTTATTAACTATGCGTGAATTCTAACGCTCACCTTATAAGTCCATAGGATTATTAATGGATTATTATGCTTTATTATCATAATCTTGAGTGCCATAAATGAGAGAACAAGTAATTTTACTATGACGTGGTTATTATACTGGTGGCCTGTCAGGCCACTTTTTGGCTCATAAGATCATAATCAATTTAAAATTTTCCTAATGTTTTCAAATGAGATGTGATTTAGTTTAAAAAAGCTAAAAACACTTTACAAATTACGCAATTACAAATACATTAGGGTATTTAATAATAACGTTAATAAATATTAAAACGTGATAAAAAAACCATGTTAAGATAATAAATTATATTAATTAAGCAATATTTCCTGTATATATTGCATTTGATATAATGTTATAAATATAATTTAATAAATATAATAACATTATAAATATAATTTATAATAGAAACTAACATTGAGTTAATTTATTATCGAAAAATTTAAATAAATGTACAATTACTTTGCATTCCAATCACACATCAGAGAAGCTGTAATATAATATCATTGTAATTATGGTTTTGTATTTTGTTAATAGGTAAAATGCCAAAAATTAAATACAAAAATTTATTGTTTTGCTAAATAGATTATCATTGTAAGCAAGTTTACAATTAATATGCATGATGTAAAGTAATTACGTAATTCATCGTAAAACACGTGCACAATATTTATTAAATTGTAAACCCTTTATGGAATACGAGTGCCGCTGTCCCATAGCCTTCCAGTGCCCCGATATTACTCACAATACAACCGGTATTTAATTATTAATAAAGTATTATGATTTATTAAAAATATAAGTATTAAATGTTTGATTTATATTTATTATGTATTCATCAAAAGTGTGTCAATTCGGTGGCCGAGTATTTCCGGTTGAGTCGCGGATACCGGTGCAGAATCCGTGCCGTATCTGCGAGTGCCGTGACTTTGGCCGCACTCTGGGGTCAACTGATGGCCGAAATAGACTGCGGAGTGGGTATCGAGTGTTTGGAGGAGGCGTTTGGCCTCAAACCGGAGCCCAACTGTTATTTTGCTTATGAGAGGGACCGGTGTTGTGGGCGTCAGGTCTGCGCCAACACTACCCGAACCCAAAACCAGCCCAAACGACAAGGTGTGCACATATGGGGGCCGACAGTACAGACGGGGAGAGAGGATATATCCGGATGAGGATAACTGCAAGATATGCCACTGCGATGAGCACTGGGACGACTCCAACCCCCTGTCCTGTCATCGACATCAATGCGAAATACAGTTGAACAGGGATTTTGCCGCCGATTTACTTTGAGCAAGTTTTTAAGTGTATATAATGCTAAAATCACGGCATTTTGACTATGCAATCATTAAATAAACCCAGTGTTGAAAGTGGTTGAATGAAATTGCATTAAAATTATCACAAAAAGTCAATATAAGGCAAAGAAAATAAATAATTTGCACAAAAATATACAACAAATAAAAAGACTAAACAACAAATATAATAATAAAAATAAAAATCACTTTAAAATTACGAGAAAAAGCACTTAAATTAATGAGAGGTTTGGCTGTTTTTATTAACGGGAGAGTACACTATAAAATGCCTTTCACATTTAAATACTCGTATATTTCTCTATAGTGTATGAATTTTAGTGGAAAATATTTAAATATAATTAACTTAATCGCTAATAAGAATTTATGCACTTAATTCAACGTTGTTAAATGCAAGTTTTAATGCTTAATTTACATATCAGGGTATTTGTGTGTGATATAACCCGGACAATAAATATCTATGATTTTGTTTTCAAATCAACAAGTTTTAAAATAAACAGCATTTTATTTCAAAAGCAATTAAATGCTTTTCAAATTCTTTGATTTTCTGATTTGTATATCATTTTAGTGTTTTTGTGTGATAAAAATTTATATTACTTTATAAACAATCTCTCTCTCTCTCTCTCTCTCTCTCTCTCTCT